AATACATCCTTGAAAAGATAGTCTAGGTAAAAACTCCCAGGACTTCTCCTTGCAAGATGTGCAGAAATGCTAGAGGCCCATACAGAATTGTCTCCTAAACACGCCTCTGAGTAACTAGCCTAAATGGGGTCACAGAGTTCGTAAATTAATGTTCATGTACATTGTCTGTTTATTCTTAAGCTACATTTTTGAAGCGTTTTCTGAAATGTTCTGTGTGATATACTGCTGCTTATCCTGTATTAAAATTTTATACTCTTAACAAAACAAATACGAAAGTTGATATGCGTACTGAGGTGTTCAGGAGTGACTGTGCTGATGTCTTCAGCTTGCTTTGATGTGCATCAGAAATGAAGTGGATGTCTGGACAGGGCAGATAGATATGCTGCAAAGTAAATACAGCAAAATGTTGATTGTAGAATGTGAGTGATGATGTATGAGTGTTTATATAGTTTATCTCAATTTCTGTGTCAAATTTTTCATAATAAAATGTTGGGGGAAAAGCTAACTGTTCCCCTCTTCCACAGTTGATTCTCTTTGCAGCTGAACTGAACTCAGGATTTCAAGATAACTTTGTTATCAGTAGTTCACATCAAAATATGGATGAATGATAACAGTTTTTAAGAGTGGTTCTTTTTGTTTTTTGTTTTGTTTTTGGTAGCTCTTCTTAGCTTAGTGGGATTCCTTTTAAGACTGGGCGGTTTGGAGAAGAAAGGTCCTGCTATTTAAAAGGAAGCCGTTGTACTGAATGGTTGAATTTTACATATGTGGACTGACTAAAAAGGGTATTTCATGCTGGAAAAAAGGTTTTTAGGCAAACGAGGCAGGCCAGTCCCACTTGACTGCCTTAAAATTGGCAACGAAGGCAGCTCTGGGTGAGCTGCCTTAAAATTTTCTAGTATTTTTGACATCTCACGTTGTAAGTTTTTAAAAAACTTATGTTCAGACTTTTTTACTCAGAGGCCACATTTGTGTTTGTGTTACATTTCTGTTTGATTGTAAGAATTTGGGACTAGGAGCAGGATTTTGACTTAATGGCAGTGACAGCTATAGAGGAGTTGGGACAGAATACTTAGTGGCAGGAAATGGTCAGGCTTTCAAAGAACAACAGCCACATAATTGAAAGGTAGAAGTATTTTAATTGTAGATTTTCAATATAAGAGTGCAAATAAATGTAACTTGTATGCAGTTTTCTTTTTTTATACGGGATAGTTCATTATAAACAGTGACATATCTCTAACATAAGTTTTTATCAGTAACTTTTGATTAAAATGGACTAGTTCAAAAATTGTTTCCTAAATGTTAAACTAAGCATTTATATTGGGCAAATGATAGGATTTCCCCATTTATAGGGATTAAGTTTCAGAAATCCTCGAAACATATTTGTTTACTCCATAAATTGCATCAGATGTTCACTTTGTCATCAAAACTGCTTTTCACTGTTTTTTTCAAATTTTCAAGGTTATGTCAAGGATCAGTTTTTTTAAAAAAACTTTTTTGTTTTTCATAAAGAAAAGATATATACAGTTCAAGGAATTATTTAAAATTAAATACTCAATATAATCACCTCCAGGGTGAGAAATAGAACTTGGCTAGCATTCGGCAAAGCTCTCCTTTTACCCTCTCCCAGTTACTTCCACTGCAGGATTAACCATTATCCTGACTTTTATGGTAGTCACTTGTTTCTCTTGATGATTTAATCACGTAAGCCTTACAAAGGATACATGTTCAATTAGTAAAGCAGGAGATTATTGGTTTAATTCAGGGATTCTTAACTCTAACTTCATACCTCATTTTTAGATTTTGTAATGTTCCTATTACTATCCTGAAAAGAAATTCATATATAAAATGACCAATAACATATGTAATTAAAAATTTTAAAATATATATACCCTAGCTATATAACATAAGGGGAAAAAAAGGAAGTAATTTTATAATGGAATGCTCATTTTAAGTGTGTTTGGGCATGACTACCCTAGAAGACATAATGAAGTAGTCAGATACTTGTACCCTACTTAAGTTTGTAGGTACAGTGGTCAGATGTTTGTATCTACTTAAGATGAGTACGTTTGGATTTAAGAGAAATAAGACGAGTTATCTGAATAGTACTGACAGTTTTTCTTAACATTGATAAAAGGGCAAAATAAGAATATGCATATAGGTAGATTCATGTGAAGGTGTCACCTACAAACGCCTGCTGACTAATTCAGATGTGTTGTATTGGTGATTCAGGTATCATGAGTGGCATTGCTATTGGTAGAATAATCTTCTGTAACGGTGAACTCACCTTTTAACATTTTGAAGAAAAGAGTACACATTTTTCCTGTTCACGTAATAGATGAATACTTGGAAAAGAGATTTTCCACCAATATGAATTTCTGGAGGAGTATTTGAAAATGCGATGCAGTGGGAACATAGGACTTCTTGTGTGGGTCTGCCTTGCAGAATGTCTACTGTCCTGTTTCCTGCCCCCACCTCCCACCCCAGTGAGTACCACCCAATCATAATGCCTAATGAAAACACCTTGTAAGGGGCAGTATCACCTAAAGGGTTATGTTTGTAGCACTTTCAGTAAGGTATATAACTTCTCTTCTCCGAAGATCTTAAGGTAGATTTCTTTGTCAGGCCTTTTAAATCAGCAGCTCCTGGGGGTACATGATACAACCCCTCTATCCCTGAACCCAGCTCTCTAACTCGTTTTACCTTCCATAAAAGTCAGTGTAAAATTTTTGTGAATATTTACCTATGTATGTTTTTCTGAGGTGTAGGATATGGCTTTCATCAGGTTCTTAAAGGATTCTCTAACTCACAAAAGTGGACCACATATTTCTTCCCATGACCTTTTTTAGCTGTTAAATCTGGTTATTCCTTTGCTAATGATCATCAGTACTTGATAATTTTCCATTTTAAACTAGGAAAGGGGCTCAAATCTTAACTATCTGCTGGGAGCAACCCTCATTGAGAGGCTAGGTTAGAGGGATATACAATGGAGCAGAAAATCTCAAATTCGTTTGTTGGGTGGGTTTATTATAGGTAATTCTACATTTTACTTGCAAGGTTAACATGCATTGTTAAGAGTTTTGTTCTGAATTGGTGGGGTGTATTTCTTTTGATATATTAGCATCATCTTTAGATAATTTATACTTTTATGTCTAGAAATCCCACAATCTGTATTGACAATTTATAATCCCTGGTGGGCAATATCATGAAATGTAAATACTATTTCAGAATTTGTACAACTCTTGTAGAGTTTGTTGATCAAAACTGACCCACAGTCATTTTAAAAATCAGTTAAAAAATTATTTTACCTTAGTTTGGATAATTGGCACTTTTTAAAATTGGAGAGAATTAAATTAATAAAACATTCAAATACTAAAAACTTACGTAATTATGTTATGAAAATACATAAATACATAATTAAAAATAATTAGGTATTCATATTATGGATTAGAATTGTTCAAAATTAAAATTTTGTGACATGTCTTTTTGTCATGTTACTAAGAAATTGGATCTTTATTTTAATCTGTGCTTGCTACTAATGTTAAAGTCCTCAAAATAGTCCTATAAAATTTTACATTTTAAAGTGTTTGTAGTAATTATGGATTTGAGAATGTTAAGAAATGGAATTCGCCTTTAAGACTTCTAGTTTTATCAGTTCAAAACATATCTCCAGCCAGCCATTTTGTGGATTCCTGTAGTAAAATGAACACATTGGAGTTTTTTGTCTTTACTCTTATACTAGTTTTATGGTGGAGTTGTTAATCAGATGCTTTTCAAAAAGAAAATGCAAGCACTTGGTGTTGAAGAAGCAGCAAGGGGTGTATGTTGTAAATGGAATGATTGGTTTGGCCATATAATGAAACAAGCAGTTCAGAACATCGTACTTTATCACATGTATGCTTTTTTTCCCCAATATTAAAATGCTTTCTTTTCTAAAACCTGCCTTTACATGCTTTCTTCTATTTTTCACTCATTTTTATCTCCTTCCTCTCATCCTAGTTCCTAATTTTTATTTATTAGAAAATATTTTACTACTCACAAACTTTAAGCATAGGATAAAATCAGTTTACTTCTTAGGGCTTGATAATAAGTGTCTTTTAATGACCTTGCCTTTGTAAAATTTTAAAAGACATGCTTATTCTTAAAGTTGAAATAAAGAAAAGATAGCCTTTATAATAGTTGTCTTTGATTCCAGCCTTCTAGCTTTTTTAAAAAAAAAATATAACTTTAAACGAATTGTTTTTAGAATCATTTAAAATTACTTTTGGAATAGTTAGAACTGTGGTTATTGTTCCCAACTGGAACATGTTTTTATCTTCTGCCTCCAAATTAACTGGTATTTATTTTGTTGTCTAAATTAATCTGCATAATTTTTCTTTAGGCCTTTCTTTAGCAAAATGGATGAGCCTTTTGGGTTCTTTGTTTTGTGATTTTATGTTGTTTGGGTGCAGAACCAAAGCTTAAAAACTTTGTATCTAGAGCATATGGCATAATAAACACTTAACAAATATGTGAATGAATGAATGGATTGAATGAATGAACAAACAAACAAAGTTGAGGTAAAGCAAAAGCACTGATGTCATAGGGTGTAGGGTCTTCAGATGTAGAGATTTTTGCAGTTGGCCTAGTAAAATGAACTTGAAGATTGACGCTGGTTTGCAGACAACTGGGAAATTCTGATATTTTCAGCAATGTGTTAACAACATACTATAAAAATACAGTTGTAAACTTCATAGATCAGAAGTTTCACAGTACTTTTTTTGATAGAAATCATACATGTTTATGGTAGAAATTTTGTGAAATACAGGGAATGAAGAAGAAAACACGACTTTTTTTTAAGTCTACCACCTGGAGAAAGGCAGTGTTAGTAGCCATTTGGGATATTTATGCCTACAAATGTCAACACATAATTAAAATTGAAGTTACATACTTTCAGTTTTGATTCCTTTGTTGTCGAGAATCCAATTAAATTTTGTTTTCTCTTTAATTTTTAAACTTTACAGGCCCCTTCACAGATGTAGTCACTACAAATCTTAAATTGCGAAATCCATCGGATAGAAAAGTGTGTTTCAAAGTGAAGACTACAGCACCTCGCCGGTACTGTGTGAGGCCCAACAGTGGAATTATTGACCCAGGGTCAACTGTGACTGTTTCAGGTAGCAAATCATGTTCTGAATTTATGTACATTTGAATTTTGACATTTTATGATTCTGTTTTTGTTTAATAAGGTTTCATCTGGAGGGAGGGAGATAATTCTTATATTATTCTGGCTTTGCCTTTAAAGATGTCTTGTTATTGTACTATATGCAAGCTGTTTCAGAAAATTTCTCACTCTCATCTTCTGTGTAGGGAGTGTGGTCAGTTTATAAGAAATTATTGTCAATTACAAACTTTATATCTAGTCTTTATTTCTACAGCTAACCACTACCTTCTCTGCCTTTTTTATTTTATCTTTGAAAAATTATACCATTTTTCTGATGGGTCATTCTCCTTCAGATCATGATCATATTATACATTGCATGCAGCTGTAGAAGTGTCATAATTCTTCTGCTTAAGAAGGTATAATGCCACTTTTTTGCCTACTGTGTCAAATCAGATGAGTCTTTATGTCTTTCATTGTAAATGTCAACAGTGTCCTGCATGTGAAAACTTTTATTTTACTACTCTCTAACGTGTTTACTTGTCAAAGAAGTATGCTTGCCATATATGGATTGCTTACTCCTGCTATGGAGTCGATACTGGTACCATAGCTAATTCCCCTATAAACTGTTTTTTTCTTTCTCAGTCCCTCTGACTTCACTGATATAGCTGAGAAATAGGAACTAAATATGAGAACTTACATGGTTCCATGTATTTTACTTAGGGGAGAACCTCTCAGGCTGCATTTACTCTTCCTTTACAGCAGTACTTCTCAACTCCCGCTATGTGCTGTAATAACGCAGGGAGCGGGAACACACATGGATTCATCTCTCTCAGATCAGAATCTCTGGGAGCATGGCTTAGAAATGTGTACGTTTACGCTGGGCGCGGTGGCTCACACCTGTAATCCCAACATTTTGGGAGGCCGAGGCGGGTGGATCACTAGGTCAGGAGTTCAAGACCAGCCTGATCAAGATGGTGAAACCCTGTCTGTACTAAAAATACAAAAAATTAGCCGGGTCTGGTGTTGGGCGCCTGTGGTCCCAGCTACTTCGGAGGCTGAGGCAGAGAATTGCTTGAACCCAGGAGGCGGAGGTTGCAGTGAGCCGAGACCACACCACTGCACTTCAGCCTGGGCGACAGAGTAAGACTCCATCTCAAAAAAAAAAGTGCACATTAAAAAAAAAAAAAAAGGCCTGGGTGATCTTGATAAGTAATCCCAAGATACAATAATTCCATATCAGTTTTCAAGTCCACAGCAGAATTGGGTAGAGAGAGAGAGAACCCAGGGTAGGCTCATTGAGAGTATTTAGAGGTGGAACCTGAGTGCAAAGGCCATGAAGGACAGACCATAGAGTTTTTGGTGATGCTAAATCTTCTCTTGGCAGGTATAGCCAAAAACCTCAACAGCGAGGAAAAAGATGTTTTAGTGAATCTTGTGTTAAGGAGGCCTGGGAGGAGTGCCTTTCATGTTTCTTTGCTAAGTCTAATTCATCAGTTCTTGGGATGAAGAGATGGGAAATAAAGATGAAGGAATGCATGCTCTCTGGATTTTGCTGCTTTCGACTACATCTTTAAGCCTTTAGCACAATTGGAAGAAGAGATAATTCTTTCTTGTTTTCTTTTTTCTTTTTTTTGGAGACAATGTCTTGCTCTGTTGCCCAGGCAGGAGTGCAGTGATGTAATCTCAGCTGACTGCAACTTCCGCCTCCTGGGTTCAAGTGATTCTCATGCCTCAGCCACTTGAGTAGCTAGGATTACAGGCGTGCGCCAACAGCCTGGCTCATTTTTATATTTTTAGTAGAGACAGAGTTTCACAATGATGGCCAGGCTGGTCTCGAACTCCTGACCTCAAGTGATCCGTCCACGTTAGCCTCCCCAAAGGCTGGGATTACAGGCGTGAGCCACTGCACCTGGCCAGAAGATATAATTATTTCAATCCACATGGCTAAAAATAGTTTATTGGTACAAACAGTTATATCCCTAGGAATCCAAACAGCTATGCAGAATGATTTTTTCTTTGAGGGGCCTAGATTGCTGGTTTCTGTGTATTAATATTTCTTGAGAAAATAACGTATCAAAGCGTTTTCTTCCACAGAAACCTGCCTTATTAAAACCTGCAGACAAACTGGTTACTGATTACACAAACATGCCCTTGGATTGCTCTACTTCAATGAGAATTTGACTTTTCCAATTTTTAGTGTAGGTTATTTCCATTTACAGTCACTCAAAGGTATGCTTCTTCCAGCAACCTTCTCTGGTTAATTCTCTGTACTACATGCTTATTTCTCTTTTTTCCCCGTGTCCCTTTGACACTTTTTTTTGAATTTGTTCCAATTTGTGCACATTTTTATATATGTTTTCAAGATCGTCTTTGTCTCTTTTTGTGGTCTGCAACCTAAATTAGAGTGTAACTGCCATAAACTTAACCATGTTGTAAGTTTTCTTTTTATTCACAGATTTTTGGTTCATAGTGATTAGCTTATAATGATTACTTAGTGAAGGTTGCTAATGGAATTTTATTTAGCTTAAGCTGTATTCTGAGGCATTTTATCCAGTACATTTCCTGCTGCTGTGTATTTGGCCCCTTGAAAAAGTTGTCTTAACCTTGATAGCAGTTAATGGACTTCTCAGACACACCTTGTGAATAAGACTTTATTACATAATTGTTAGGTTCTACATTTATTTACTCGTGTTTATCTTTTCGAAAGTGTGGAGATATATCTTAGAAATAATCCAAAGTTAGGGAAATAATTTCTATAATACCATGTACATACTTTGTGTAACTGTTGATTCATTTTTTATATAGTCTCATATTGGACTCATGTTACATAAATTTCGCATGACTTACAACCACATGGAACCTTACAAAACTTAAAAGTTGGGAAATTATAAATGGTTAAAAATTTTGAATGTTATTGAGACTGTAGAATATATTTTAGAAATCAAGAGGCTATATGCTTTCCTTGTGTACTTTTGTTTTCTTAGAAGATTGAAATTCATAAACTGAAATAGATGTTTATTTAAAATACATTTTTGAAAAATTAATTATATTAATATATGGGCTGGGCGCTGCGGCTAATGCATGTATTCCTAGCACTTTGGGAGGCTGAGGAAGGCGGATCTCTTGAGCCCAGGAATTTGATACCAGCCTGGGCAAAATGGCAAAAACCCTTTCTCTACAAAATGAGCCCAGGGAGGTTGAGGCTACAGTGAGCAGAGATGGCGCCGCTGCAGTGCAGCCTCACGACAGAGTAAGACTCAGTTTTAAAAAGCAAAAAATAGATGGTAATGAGGTTTTAAGTTACTATTTCTCCTTTAAATATGCCAGCTATATAATTTTAAATCAGAAAACACTAAAATGAAGCCTAAATTCATAACTAGTTTTAATAACTTGTTTTAATAACTTAGTAGATTTTATCTGAACTTATAGGCATTATAGTTAACACTGGCAAAGTTTTGAAAATTTTCACAAGCTGAGTTTAGAAAGGGCAAAATCATAGATTCATATTTAATTTTTAATTGCAATTGTTTATTTTGTTGGTTGTGGAAAACTTAGTACATTAGAAAGGCAGACAATTTGAAAATACTTGGGATCCATTAAGTTGATTCTGGATTCTTAAACATTCTGGTATTTGGTTTCTTGAACCGTTCTTGGTTTTCTTTAAATTTGCATATTTGTGAAGTAATAGGAATGATACTATGGCCAGATACTGTTTAAGGCAAATCCCGGACTTGGTATAATTTAATCTGTAACTGTTTCAATGTATGTCTTTCAAACATGCAGGAGACAATATAATATATCCTTTTTTTCTTATTTAGTAATGCTACAGCCCTTTGACTATGATCCGAATGAAAAGAGTAAACACAAGTTTATGGTACAGACAATTTTTGCTCCACCAAACACTTCAGATATGGAAGCTGTGGTAAGTACAGAAGAAGAATTTATTTTGGGGAGTGGAGTTTAAACTGTGGGTTTTGTTCAGCAGTCAGTAGAAAAACTTAATTTCTAAAAACTAAAAGTTGAATTTAGATTTTTAAAAAACTGCCAATGTCTTCATTGTAGATAATCCTAACTTACAGAATGAAAGAATTTTTAAATAGTATTTTTTTTTTAAGAAACAATTTAGAAATGCTGCTACTGGCCTAGTGCAGTGGCTCACACCTGTAATCCCAGCCCTTTGGGAGGCTAAGATGGGAGTATCTCAAGCCCAGGAGTTCGAGACCAGCCCAGGCGACATGACAAGACCCTGTCTCTACAATTAAAAAAAAAAAAACAACCAACAAGTAAAAAAACCAACAGTTGCCTGTAGTCCCAGCTACCCAGGAGGCTTCCTTGAGCCCAGGAGTGGCCACTGCACTCCAGCCTGGGAGACAGAATGATACCAACTGGAAAAAGAGAAAAAAGAAAGAAATGCTGCTCTTAAGAAGAAAGTCCTGTGGTTGCTAGTGATATCATCGTGATTTTAATGGATGGTGATAGTAACTCTAGGATTATATATTCTGTGACATTAGCCAGTAACAATGGCAGGGTGATCAGTGAAGAGTGCACCAGTGTATTTCAGCCAAGCCAGGCAGCTACACTCATCTTTTAGCTGTCCCATGAGGTCACACTTACTTACCATGATCATACCTCCTATGTCTCATTTTTGGTTTTGTTTATTTTTTAGTGGAAAGAGGCAAAACCTGATGAATTAATGGATTCCAAATTGAGATGTGTATTTGAAATGCCTAATGAAAATGACAAATTGGTAAGTAGGAAAATGTAAAAAAAATGAAGCTGTTGAGCGCTCAGTTCCTTTGATTAATTTTGCTTCTATTTTTGACCTTTGAGGTATGTGTGTTATGGCTCTTTCATGTCATAAGACTCAGTGGTTAAGTTTTAAAAAACTTGGTATACTTTTTTTTTTTTTTTAAAATAACATTTTGTTTATCCAAGAAGAAAGAAAGACTCACTTTTAGGTCTAGACTACATCCTGGAGAAGAATCCTTTAAGTATAGCAGATTTTTGTGGCGTAAACCACTACAGGTTCTTTTTTAGAATGAGACATGTATACATAATTTAAAAATACATATAAATTGCTTTTTGGCTATTATGTACCAGCAGTTTGGGGATAAAAAATTCACTTACATGGACAGTTTATTCCAGGTTTAGCTATTCCCAGGTATTTTGCTCACTTTTGTTTTTAGTCAAATCCATCTGATTGCATTCTTTAGTAAATAATTGTTATGCTGCTTACTCATTAATGTAGGTCAAATACAATTTGGGGGACTGAGAGATATATGTGTTTATTTAAAAACAAACAAATAGTAGTCGGTGAATGTACAGAGTGTATTATAGTCACTTACCTTGTCCTTTTCCCTGTCTGGGTTGCAAATTTGAATCTTTCCCTATGGTAAGAGAGACTTGAAAGATAAGTTTTTCTGTGTGTGTATGTGACTTAATACATACAATAATACGGATAAATAGAATTGTTTGGCACGATTTGGTTACAATCTGACATGACTACTGCTTTAATCTGGTGGCCATTTGCTCTATTGAAAAGTAAACATGCAGATTAAATACGTGGGCTCAGTTACTGTGTTTCTCTTTCAGGATAAGCAGAAATGAAAAGGTCTCTGGCAATTAGGTGTTGACCAAATTAGTTTTTGAATTTTTAAAATACCTCTTTTAAGTGATTTTTGAGGTATTTGCCAAAAGCAAAAAATTGTGAACACGTATATTCTCTGTAAAGTGAGTGTTAGATGGCCTGTGTATGCTTCCCATTTAGAGGTTTTCGTTTTTGGCTTAGGCTGAGGGAAGCTAATAGCTTGCACAGCTCTTACTGTTGAAATCAAGAAAACAAAACAGCGTATTGTCTGGATTGACTTTTTTTAAAAAAACATTTGGATATTTTCTCACTTAGAGTTTTATGTCATTTTTTACAGTAATTCAGTCAGCATAAATCTGTCTTCTATCTGGGCTTCTGCTATGCTCTGGATAGCACACACTTTGAGATGTGTGAAAAGGATTGAGACCGCAGGTATTTGATACTGCTGATTAAGAGTAGCTCTCACTGGTTTGGAAACCAAACCAGAAGTTGATGGGAATGATACAGTAATGACAGTGGAACCCAGCGATTTACCCATCTTGGGTGAAAAGAGCCGTTATGCCTACCTATTGGTCTAGCCCATAGTTATCCAAGGAAGTAGTTTTGGGTCTCTTTTAGCGCTTGAGCAAATACCGAATGGAGTTCCCAGAATCGCCTGTGGTGGAACTCGAGCCGCAGTAGTTTGAACCTGGAACCTTTTCAGAGCACGTATTACTAGTAACCTGAAAGCTGTTAAGTAACTTCAAAGTACTCTAGAGAATATCTTGAGTCTGAGCCTTGATTAGCTAGGTGCTAATGTATTTTCACTAATTGGATTATCTGGACTTGTATATTAAATTGTAGGAAATATCTGCTAAAGATAATTTTTAAGAAGATTTATTTTGAAAAACTTGAAGCACCTAGAAGAGTAGGTAGGAGGAGTATAATGCACCTCTGTGAACTTATGAGCAGCTTTAACAATGACTAGTTTGTGGTTAAGCGTATTATATATAAATCCTATTACTTCTCATCTTAGGTATTGTTGAAGGCAAATCCCAGACATGGTATACTTTAATCTGTAACTGTTTGAATGTATATCTTTCAAAGTACTTTAAAAAAAGAGATAAAAGAGTTTTAATGACAATACTGTTACTATGCCTTTAAAAATTTAGCATATCCTTAATATCAGGCTATCCAGGCAGCATTAAAACTTGTCACAGATGTCATTAAAAATTTTTTTTTTCTGCAGTTCGTTTGAATTAGATGAAAATAAAGTCCAAATAGTTGTTCCTTTTTTTTGTTTGTTTTTCTTTGAGATGGAGTCTTGCTCTGTTGTTCAGGCTGGAGTGCAGTAGCACGATCCTGGCGCACTGCAACCTGTGCCTCACGGATTCAAGCAGTTCTCCTGCCTTAGCCTCTAGTAGCTGGGATTACAGGTGCACGCCACCACACCTGGCTAATTTTTATATTTTTTGTAGAGACAGGCTTTTGCCAGACTGGTCTCAAAATCCTGACCTCAGGTGATCCACCTGCCTTGGCCTCCCAAAGTGTGCTGGGATTACAGGTGTGAGCCACCGCGCCTGGCCGAGTCCAAATACTTCTGTTGGATGATATGTTTCTTAAATCTCTTAATTTGTTGTTTCCTCTCTTTTTTTTTTTTTGCAAATTATTGAATGTTTTTATTATTAGACTATGTTTGCCTATAGACGTTCCCACAGACTTGATTTTGCTGATTCCATCCTTGTGGTGCCATTTAGCCTTTTTCCCCTGTCCCTGGTATTTCCTATGATTGAAAGTTTGAAATGAGTGGTTCTCATCCAGGGGCAATCGATTTGCTCCTCTAGGGACCGTGTTTGGAAACATTTTTGGTTTTCATGACTGAGAGATAGGTAAGGGTGTAAGGTAACCTATTTAGTGGGCAGAGGCCAGAGATGCCTTTCAACTTCCTGTGATGCACAGAACAGCCCCCACAACAAAGAATAATCTGGCTCAAAATGTCAGTAAAGTTGAGATTGAGACAATATGGCCTAGGTCTGTTAATTCATTTAAGATTGTCTGATGGTGATACTCTGTCATTCCTGCTTCATAACACTAGTTACAATACTTGTGTAAAGAGAAACTTGTGCTTATGTAATATTTGGTTATTAAGTGGTAGAGTTTAAAAAGGCAGAACAAATGCCAAAGTTTATCTTTAAAGGTTTTGAAAAATGAGTTGGTTTGTAAGCATCCCACCTCGTGATGTACAGTTGATCTTCCACTTTCCATCCTTTCTTTCTTCCCTCCCTGCTTCTATATTGATAAAACTCATGAATTTAAACATATTTGAGTTTTAACTCTTGGCAGTTAATTATTATTATTGGTGCTCAAGTTGCCTGGTAAGGATACTTTTCACATTGGTTCTTGAGATTTTTTGATCCTCATAGTCTTTGGTAATTTTCTTGTCTAATGTGGCAAGATTTTTCCAGGTTCAGACCTGGAAAGAAGCTCAGGACCATTTCAGTGGGAGATGGTATTTCAGGACTACAGTCGGCCGGGGCCCTGTGACAAAATTGATTTTTAATTTTGTCAAACTCTCTATTCATTTTTTTGACCAAGGTAAGAGTGGAGGCCCATTTTTCATTCGAAAGTGCTTCTTCAAATGGTAAAATTTTAATGATAAAACAGCATATAGGATGATGTGGATCCTTTTATTTCTTGGGGTAATGATTGCATTTTATGGTTGGATTATGTTGGGTAATTCAAAATGTGCAAAATCCAATACTGATCCTGAGAAGAATGAGGAGGTACTTCTATGAACCGGCTGAAGTGGTGTTTCAGTATAGCAATAGATAAATATAAGTTACGACGTTCATGGCTCACTGGCCTTGCCGTTACGATTTTTGATGGATGTTTTTGAATGTTTATAATTTACATTTCAAGTTTTACACATAAAATGAGACTTAAAGATTGTAATATATCACCATTTCAAATTTATGTAATTGGAACTTGCAAAAATTGTGTCTATACTATCTAGGCTGGAAGTGGCCTTAATTGATTAATGTGTATGTTAAAGAGAGACTAAAACACAACTGTGTTTTTATAAGGCAGTATTTCCCAGTGTATTAGGTTGGAAGCGTTCTGTAGTCAAGTGTGCTTGGAAAAATACTGTAAATGTCTCCAAGAGGAATCACATGTGTATCTGCCTATGAAAGGCTCTGAGAAAACTTAATGGTAAAGAAATATATTTAATCCAGTATTTTTTTTTTTTTTATTTAGAATAACCTAATTAGGAAATACCGATGTTCTGAAAAAATATACTTTGGGAAATACTGTTCCTGCCTAAACTCACTCCTGTAATATTAACTAACCTGCAGATTGTACAAGAAATGTTACATACTGAGAAATGTGTTTAAACTCAGTGCAACCTGGCACAGACCGAGTTCCATCTGGGTTGTTAATTGATTGTGTGACTTTCAAGTTATCAATTTAATGTTGCATCTCATCTTTTATAGAAAATATGAAATCTTAAGGTACCAAATCTGAAGTCTTATGATAGCACAAAATATATAAGAAGTTTTTGTTTCTAACAATTAAGGATAAAACCTTTTATATCTGTCTAAAGATAAATAACAGAACACCTCTTTCTTAATATTTTATTCATGTGGTAATAAGACCCTATTGATAATTGTATCCTGCTGTTTCTAGATCAATATTCTTTATAGGTGAAGTTGATAAAACTGGTTAAAAAAATATTTTTGACATGTTAGTTTCTTTCTAGTATCTGTAGATAAAATTAGTAGTTAATATTCGTTTTCTTTGTTTAGCATGAAATTTGGCTCTTTGGAAATTAGGACATTATTGGATAGTGTGATACACAGTTTGTTAATTTACTTCAGATGAATCGATAAAATGCTATATGACGCTGAATCCTGACTTACACAATTGCTGAAATATGACACTCCCTTATTCAAAGAAAATACATTTCTAAATGTGCAAGATGAACAAAAATGTTCTGAAAACTTGGTGATGTATTTTTTAAAAGTATAGAGTGGAAAATACACTTTTTATCTTACAGTTATGATTGTGATACAGAGAATTCTTTGAGATCTTTCGATCTTTTATTCTTTTAGTTTATTAGTATGTTGTACAAAGTGTGTTAACTTAAGCAAAATCAGTTTAATTTTTAACTGCATTGCTGGTAACAGCTTAGGATTTAACATAGAACTCTGGATGGCATTTGTATTTTTTGTTCAGCTTTAGTGTTTAGAGCAGTGGAGAAGTTCATAGGGGTTCTTTACACCTTTATTTTTTGTTTCAATATATGCATACATTATTAAATGATCACCACAATCAAGCTGATTAACATATCACCTCAGATAAGCACCATTTTTATGGGTCACATTTACTTTAAAGAGTCGATCAAAATTTCATTTTTGGTAGTCAACTTAGAAAAATTTGGTTAGTGTTGAAAACAGATTCTGCAATAGCTATCACAATTGTTGATGCACTCTCCTCAGATATTGTAGAGGTAACAAGTCTTGAACTTCATGATTTTTTTTTAGTGTGTCTTAACCCCACTTCCTCACTTCCCCAGCCCCTCTTCCTGTATCCTTGTGCAGAAAGAAGTACACTGGTATTTAAGTACTGTATTAGTCTGTTCTCACATTGCTGTAAAGAAATACCTGAGACTGGGTAATTTATAAAGAAAAGAGGTTTAATTGGCTCACAGTTCTGCAGGCGTACAGGCAACATGACGGCTTCTGTATCTGAGGAGGCCTCAGGAAACCTCCAGTCATGGTGGAGAGCAAGGGGGAGCAGATGCCTCACATGGTAGGAACAGGAGCAAGAGAGAGCGAAGGGGCGGTGCTACACTCTTATTAACAACCAGATCTCATGAGAACTCTATCATGAGAACAGTACCACGAGGATGGTGCTAAACCATTCATGAAGGACCCACCCCCATGATCCAGTCACTTCCCACCAGGCCCCACCTCCAACGCTGGAGATTACAATTTGACATGAGATTTGCCAGGGACACAGATCCAAACCGTATCAAGTGTGTTGTATACATATACCCCACTTGTTTGAGGATTTTGATCTTTTTACGGATGCTGTTCATTCTTGGGTGTTTACATGTTTGGAATGCAGTGAAAAAGTATGATGTTATTTTGTTGATTTCCTTAGACTTTTTAGGACCTTGATACTGAATATATAAGTAAGGAAAGATTGAAGTTTTGTGTTCATCTTATAGGGTAAAAAAATGGGCCGGGCGCGGTGGCTCAAGCCTGTAATCCCAGCACTTTGGGAGGCCGAGACGGGCGGATCACAAGGTCAGGAGTTCGAGACCATCCTGGCTAACACGGTGAAACCCCGTCTCTATTAAGAAATACAAAAAACTAGCCGGGCGAGGTGGCGGGCGCCTGTAGTCCCAGCTACTCGGGAGGCTGAGGCCGGAGAATGGCATGAACCCGGGAGGCGGAGCTTGCAGTGAGCTGAGATCCGGCCACTGCACTCCAGCCTGGGCGACAGAGCGAGACTCTGTCTCAAAAAAAAAAAAAAAAAAAAAAAAATGGAGCCAACTTTAGAATCACAGTGACTGAGTTCATATTTTTATTTTTATAGTTTAAATAAATCATTTATTTGTGACAAAACAATTCTCATTTATTTGAACCATCACTAAAGTGTGGGCTACTTTTTGGGAAATAGCTCTCTGATTTGGATCATAGATAAGGTGCCCCAGGAAACTTAGGAACCCTTTTATTTTAGAACAAAAGGACTCTTAGTATTTTTTTCCTGGATAATAAACATAAGCAAATACCATCCTTAAGCACACTGAGCTGTGTCGTTACCCTAGTCCTCGGGATCAGCAGGTGTGTGCCAATACATTTCATTTTGTTAATGGCCCCTAGTGTCTTCAGTTGAATTATTGTCAGTGCTAGTACTGAAAGCCATTCAGCATGTTCCGTGTATTGTTGACAGCTGGAGGCACATGATACGAAAGTGCTGACTATTGTACAAAATAGGGTTCTTTGAATTATTAGCTCTGTTCGGATTGTCAGCTCTGTATTATGAAATACGTAATGTCCAATTAGTGGTAGTGGTTATTTTTTAAGGATCAGATGTGGTTTTATTATTTTTGAAGTTTTATGACCTATTCAGTTCTTTGTGTTCACTTCTAAAAAATTTTCGAGGCCTTAACACTGACATTTTCTGAATTTCTTAAATGTATTGCATTTCATTTATGTCCTCCATCTGACATTTGAAGGTGACGTATTTTCTAGAAAAAAATACTGGTTTGTTTTAATGAAGACTGAGGGGCTGTAAAGAACAGGGATGTCAGGGATCTTATTATAAAGACATTTTATGATTGAATATACATTATTTTCTGTTGAGACAGAGAACAAATGGGATATCAGTAAGTATAATTAAGGAATCCCTTTCCTGCTTGTTTGTATAATACAGTATTGCTTTTATCTATTAAAGGAATTTGAAAAGAAAGGAAGAGAACTATGGAGTTAATGGTTATATGAGTCTTTAAGTGTGTTTATTGGCCTGGGATGTGTGTGAGGGCGTGAGTGTATTAGGGGATAGACTTTAAGTACAAGAGAGGTTTATAAAATTGTTCAGATTGAGTGTTATCAAAGGTAAGAAGACATGAAGGTGCTTGTTTTTCAGATTATTGACAATTATTAATTAGTAAAAAACATTAAAAGCCACAAAGAATTAGATGGTATTCATTTTAAAACAATGTAAGGCTGGTATAAATTTTAATGAAGTATGTACATTTATTAGGTGCACATAATGCCATTAGATTATAACTGATTTTGTTTGGGAAATATAAAAAGCGAGTTCAGAAACTACTTTTGCTTTAACATAGCTATTACTTATTAGTATCGTTTCTTATGCATTAATGCATTTTTATGAAGTGTTAATGTTTTAGAGCCTAATGGTTTCTGTGTCAGTCATTCCCAATATCATGCAGAAGAAATCAGAGTTCGGTGAGAATCTGAGAATATGTTTCCCATGCCATCTCAGGGTATAACTCCACCAGGGAATGCTCCGACTGTCACTTCAATGAGCAGCATCAACAACACAGTTGCAACACCCGCCAGTTATCACACGAAGGATGACCCCAGGGAACTCAGTGTGTTGAAACAGGAGAAACAGAAGGTTTGTTATAGGGAGCTAACAGACTTAGGAGTCTACTAGTGTTAATGATTAAGTTAAAAATGTAGATATCTAGCAGATAAGTGGTATTGTGCGTGTGTTATATGAAGTAGATAGAATTGAACTATGCCTAAAATTACAATAAAACCACAAAGCACTTAAAAATCTTGCACACAAACTACTCTGTTCTAAAAAACTTCTGAACTTACTAAAATCTCAGTAGTGAGCAGGACAGTATAAGTGTGAACTTTACGAAGTTAGTGTAATTTTTTTCTTTGAGATTTGGGGGGCATACTCTTTTTTTTTTTTTTTTGAGACGAAGTCTCACTCTGTCACCCAGGCTGAATTCTCCCACCTTAGCCTCCTCAGTAGCTGAGACTACAGGCATGTGCCACCATGCCTGGCTAATAATTTTTCTGTTTTTTTGGTGGAGGTGGGGTTTCACCATGTTGGCCAGGCTGGTCTCAAACTCCTGACCTCAGGTGATCCGCCTGCCTTGGCCTCCCAAAGTCCTGGGATTACAGGTGTGAGCCACCACACGTGGTCAACCCCACAGTTTTAGCAGATTGTTTATACTTTGATTTGGTTTTGCATATGATATGCATTACTAAGGCTTTAAAAAATTACTGTTTAAATGTTTAGTACTTTTTTGTTTTTGTGATTGGGAATTATTTACTTCTGGGAATCATGATCCTAGAGAAACAGTAAATTGTTGTTTAGGGTGGGAAAAAAATTTCAGGTAACCTTGTTACTTAAATCCCGTCTCTAATTCATAGGTTAAACCCTTAATTCTGCCTCTCACGGTTTATGACAGTACTCTTGACTTTAGCCTCTTAACTCCTTTTATGTGCGTCTTTATCCATCACTCATGTTAGTTGTAAGACTGTAGCCCCACGTTTATGTCCTTTTTCTCCTTTGTTCTTCCCAAAGCTTCTTTGCAAACTTGTTCTTGTATTTCCAATTCCTAGTTCCCTCTTTTTCTAATTAAACCCCAGTAGAAATACTTGGAAAATTAGAACTGAAATTCTGATGGTCGTTAGAAAAGAATAAAGAAGTACAGTCATGCATCTCTTAAGGATGGGAATATATATTGAGAAATGCGTTGTTAGGTGATTTGTTGTATGAACATCATAGAGTGTGCTTAAAAAAACCTATATATGGTATTGCCTGTTGTTCCTAGGCTACAGACTTGTGTAGCCTGTGGCTGTACTACAGTGTAAGTATTTGTGTATCCAAACAATCTATAGCAAGCTCTTCCAACCTGCAGCCTGCTACCCACATGTGGCCCAGGATGGCTTTGAATCCGGCCCATCGCAAATTCATAAATTTTCTTAAAACACTATGAGATTTTTTTTTGGTGATTTTTTTTTTTTTTAATAGCTCATTAGCTATTGTTAGTGTTAGTGTATTTTATGTGTGGCCCAAGACAATTTTTCTTCCAGTGAGGCCCAGGGAAACCGGAAGATTGGACACCTGTGACTATACACAGAAAAGGCGCAGCAAAAATATGGCATAAGAGATTAAAAAAAAATTTTATACCTGTATACCAGTATACCTGTATACTGTGAATGGATTTTGCAGAACTGGGTCTGCAGTTTCGGATGAGTCAGTGAATGAGTGGTGAGTGAATGGGAAGGCCTAGGACGTTACTATACACTGTAGACTTTATAAACACTGTACACTTAGGCTACATTTATTAAAATTTTTTTGTTTAATAGTCTTAGCTTTGTGTAACTATTTTCATAAACTCTAAAATTAAAAATTTTGACATAACCTAAAGCACAAGCACAGTGTATAGATACATAAAAATATCTTTTTTATGTCCTTATTCTATAGGCTTTTTAAAATTTTTTAAATAAGATTTTTTTAAAAACTTTTTTTGTGAAGACTAAGACATGGCACACACATCAACCTAGGCTTACACAGGGGCGGAATCATCAGTATCACTGCCTTCCATCTCCACATCCTGTCTCACTGGAATGTCTTCAGGGACAGTAACACGCATGGAGGTGTTATCATCTGTGATAACAGCGCCTTCTGGAATACCTCCTGAAGGACCTGCCGGAGTCTGACTTAGAGTTAACTTTTTGTTTTCATAAGTAGAAGGAGTACATTCTAAAATAAATGATAAAAAGCATAACACAGTAAATACATAAACCTGTAACGTCATTTATTACCAAGTATTCTGTATTGTACATAAATCATATGTGTGATACTTTTATATGACTGGAGTACAGTATGTATATTTACACCAGCATCACCACAAACATGTGAATAATGTGTTGTAAGACCTCACTAGATAATAGGAATTTTTCAGTGCCATTATAATTGTATGGGAACACTGTCATATGTACGGATCATCGTTGACCAAAACATCATTATACAGTGCGTGACTGGAGAACTCATAGATGGAGGATTACTGCAGATAGGCTAAATAGTGGAAAATGGGCAAGGTTGGTTTATTGTTTTATTTTAGTTGATACACACCTTGACTTTCCAGCTTATTCTGAATTGCAGTGTTAAATGTAAGGGACTATGCATCAATTTACTAAGAGTCACAGCATGTTGAATCCCTCTAGTTTGCTTGTTTCATGGTTCTCAGAAGAACCAGTCTTCTCTTTCTGGACCAGTTTGAAGCAACTCTAAAGAAACAAGCTGTTTTATTGGAGCCAAACCTCACTATTAGAGGTCCTGAATGGAAGCATATACTTAAAGTTACACCTGCTTAATTTCTTCCATCAGGCTGTTCAGATTGTCACTGCACGCATGACTCAAACCCCACCCTTCCATCACACTTTCCCCATTTTTAACTCCCAACTAAGATTAATATGCTATATTACATATACATATGTAGCATATGTATATGTAAATAAAATAGATTTTCTTGCACCTATTATGTATGTTGACTGGTTTTTAAGGGGCCTAGCTAGTATGTGATATAACTTATTGGGCACACTTTTGAAGTGTGTTTCAGCTTCACTATATTCTTTGCATTCTAGTCTCTTTATGCTCCACAAATTGGTTATCATTTATTCTCCTTTTTGTTATAAAAGTAGTATAACTTTTTTTTTTTTTTTTTCCTTGAGACGGAGTCTTGCTCTGTTGCCCAGGCTGGAGTGCAGTGGCGCGATCTGGGCTCATTGCAAGCTCGCCTCTGGGATTCACGCCATTCTGCTGCCTCAGCCTCCCGAGTAGCTGGAACTACAGGCGCCCATCACCACGCCCGGCTGATTTTTTTGTATTTTTATAGAGACAGGGTTTCACCATGTTAGCCAGGATGGTCTCGATCTCCTGACCCCACGATCCGCCCTCCTTGGCCTCCCAAAGTGCTGGGATTACAGGCGTGAGCCACCGCGCCTGGCCGAGTATAACATTTTTAAGAGAACATTTTAAGAAAAATCTAATTGTATTTGCTTAAATTCTAACCTAATTACAAGTCTAATTCTATTAGAATTAGAAACATCTAAATCTAATTCCAATCTAGTTATCTTTTTATGGAATATCTTCTTATGGATGTGTTATTTAAAATTGGAAAGAATGGAAAGCTGCCCATCAAATGCTTAACAAAAGTGAAATGTTTAATTTTGGCAAGGCATAGAATAGAATATTTAATGATACGTCATTTAAAATGATTATTAAAAATGCATATAAATGAATAAGCAAATATGTATGCCCAATTTTATAAAATGTGTGTGGAAAAATAGTAATGTAAATAATAGTTTTGTTGATTTCATGAGATTATGGGAAATGAGTTTTTCCCTTCCCCCCATAATTTAAAATTTTGTGCAATGTAAAGAATTTAAAAACAAAAATCTAGTTGTCAAGAGCTTGATGATCTTTGTTTTAGTTTTTTTTCTCTTTGGTGTTGACCCCATGTATGTCTTTTTATCCCCCTTTTGGAGACAGAGTCTCACTCTCACCTGGGCTGGAGTGCAGTGGCAGGATCTCGTCTCATTGCAGCCTCCACCTCCTAGGCTCAAGCCACCTCAGCCTCATGAGTAGCTGAGATTAGAGTTGCACACTACCATGCCTGGCTAATTTTTAGAATTGTTTTTTGTAGAGACAAGGTCTCCCTCTGTTGCTCAGGCTGTTCTTGAATTCGTGGGCTCAAGCAGGCCACCTATCTCGGCTTCCCAAAGTTTTGGGATTACAGGCATGAGACATGGTACCCTGCTTCATCCTCTTAAGTTTTTCGTCAGTTTTCTGGTATGGGTATGATACTTTTTCCCAATTCTTAACCGAAACCTAGAAGTTCTTCTGTTGCCATATTGGTGGCCATTGCCACCTCCTTTATAAAGGAAGTCAGTGTGCCAACTTCATTATCAGAAGTTGGATTTGTGTTAGGATAGAATTTGACCACACTGAAAATCATTTTGAAATGAGTTCTAACTACTATTAAGGAAAATAATAGGAAAATGTATTGGCAGGGTAAGATATATCTGAAGCAGTGTTTTAATAGTAGAGGTGGCTATTATTAGATTGGGGTGGAAGAGATTGGGGTGAAGAACAAAAAAGCTGGCAAGAGAAAAACTCAGAGAAAGAATTGAAGTATGCTTCTTTAATTTAAACCTTTCTTAACTGGGAAGCTTGAAGAAAAATGGAAGAATCTGCCGACAGGTCAAATACATACTGTTGTTGATTAGAACCTCATTATAAATTATTATAAATTTTCATTTTTAAATAGATTTTACATGGATTTAGGCATAGTAATCAAATCACATCCCCTTCATAAGAAGAACAAGTTTTGCCCTTTGAGCAAACAATCTGTTTATACTTAATATAAATTTGGCAGCTGGGATGGTGTGGTAGGTGTGCAGCCTCTGATAAATCTTATAAAATGAGTATTGTGGAATGCCATAAAGTTGATTTTGTAAATGTCTTTGTTAGCAGTTTATAGCTGAAAAAGCAGATTTTATCTAAAATTATTTTAAAGCAAGTAAAAATTTAATTAAAATGAAAAAACTTGTTACACTAATACTGCTACTATGTGTGGTGACATAAATGCTGTTAGAGTGAAGGATGTTGGGGTACTTTAGACCACAGGCTGAAGAATATGTAGATGCTGTCATAGATGTTTATCTCCAGGCCTTCAACACTAACTTCAAATGGTTCATTGTTGGTTAGGATTAAGATTTTGGGGCTCATAGTCTTCAGAGCATGCTAATTTTTACTGTGATGTTGAATCACGTGAATTAAAGCAAACAGCATTACTAAGATGATAATAGAAGTTAGCTTTTTTGGCATGTTTTTTCTTAGGTAGTTTCTAATTTTATTGGAATGACTGCAATAATATCCCCCTACGCCCCAGAACCTTATTTGAATTGCAGAACCAGAGCACGGAAAATGACCTTCGTATTTGGATATTGTTGACGTCAGTCATTCAGCATACTTTGATTGAATAACTACTCTTGACCAAAGTGCTGGTTTTAGGGGTAAATACAAAGAGAGATGGCTCTTGCTCTCCCAGCCTTTGAAGTGTTATAGGAAAGAACTTGAACAATAATTATTAAGATACATAATAAAGTGCTATGGTAGACGTACATGCCAGCGGTTATGGGAATAGAGGGAGTGGGCTCGTTATTTAGACTAATCTGACTGCTGACATGTACTGATTTAGGCCTTTTAAAGAGTTTTTCATAAACAAAGATGTTGAATTTATGTTTTTGTTTGTTTAAAACCTGTAAGAAGATTTGGTAAAAAAAATCTCAATATCTTTGTAATACAGAATGACATGGAACCTAGCAAAACTGTTCCATTGAATGCATCTAAACAAGATGGACCTATGCCAAAACCACACAGTGTTTCACTTAATGATACTGAAACAAGGAAACTAATGGAAGAGTGTAAAAGACTTCAGGGAGAAATGATGAAGCTGTCAGAAGAAAATCGACACCTGAGAGTAAGTTCTGTTGGTTGAAAATAAGTTGATTTAAATGAAGGTATAGGACATGTGAGTGTTATTAGGCCATTTTAGCAATTAGTTTTTAAATTTATCCTTGGTCAGTTCTTTCTTCTTTTCCCCAATTTGATTATGTCCTGACCTTTGCTCCCCACCCTACTCCTCTCTTAAAAGTCTTCCTGTGGTTTCTCATTGCCACGAGTTCCTTACCTTAGCACACATTCTAATCATTTGTAATCTGGCCTGCAGCATTGCCAGCTTCAGCTCTTGTTTCTCCTGTCCTTCCCATTTTGTGCCCCAGTCACACTGAACTAGGATTGTGTTGTCCCACATCATAGCCATTAGTCACCTAGGACTGTTGAGCACTTGAAATGGGATTTGTTCAAATTGAGCTGTGCTGTTGAGTGTAAAATACTGATGTTGAAGAGTTAGTACAGAAAAAGGTAAATTTTTCTTTTTTTAATGGTTACATACTGAAATAGCAGTTTGGGTATATTGGGTTGAATTGAATATATTATTAAAATGAATTTTACACATTTCTTTTTACTTTTTTAAATGTACTATTGGAAAATTTAACGTTACATATGGGGTCACATTTGAAGCTCACATATTGGCGTGGGGCAGCGTTGGGCTGGAGTATGCTGGAGAAGCATCTGTTTATCACCCCTCTTTTGCTTTAGTGTAAGCTCTTCACTGTGACTGGAAAGGCTCAGAACCCTGTCCCTCCCGACACAGCACATACACATATTAATGTCTTGCTACTATATTCTTGTTGATTTTTCAGTATAGCGTTTGCTGGGACCCTCTCCAAAAGAAAAAAAAACCGATTTGTCCTGTCTGCTTTATGCCACCACTATGCCGATTGCATTCTACTGCTCTTACTTGTTAGAGGCCTTTCTCCCTCTAGTGGGCAGTAATTTTCTTGGGGACAGGGGCAGTGTTTCATTTCTCTCTGCATTCACTGTACATGCGTGTAGTAGTCATATATTTGATTGAATAAATGGATGGTGAAGGAGGACTGATTTGAATATGTGTGAAATTTATGAATAATACTTGTCTTTGACAAGTAGTTGTTTCAAGACCTGAATTCCTATATGTTGCTCTTTAGTTTTTGTCTGAAGCTCTTTGCAGCAACGTAGATGATACAAAAATATATGTAACTAAAATAAGCTAAATGATGGGAGTTATTTGATTATTCCTTTTGTTAGGTGTATATAGGAACTGCACTCTGAACACTGTATCTTAAGTCGATCTGTGAACTCCTTTGCTGAAATGCTTTTTAAAGTGAATTTTTGTGTCTCTTCATGTTTGATACTTCATAGTACCCCCTTGAGGGGTACCCCTCTGCTTCCAAGTGCTTGTGTGGATAGTGGGAAGAATATCTTTATTTCACACCTACACACCATGGATCTTTTAAAGGATTTTGTTGGTTACTTTTACTAGATCTGCCATGACTTCCATAGTTCTGTTCTTTGATAAAGATGTGCTCCTTAGGGTGCTCAATAGATTTCTTTCAAAAGCCACTGTTTACCTCTGGCATGGAGGGGAGAGTGTAAACAGTAGGAGTGACAGGTGGGACAGGTCTGGAAAATAGGAAGAATGAACCGAGAGAGACTTTATTCCTGGTTTCTGCTCTTTGTATGCTCATGTTCTGTATGAGATTTTATTTGAGAGATGATTCTGCTGTTGGAAAAGTAAAACAAAAAAGCTGTGCTGGGCACGGTGGCTCACACCTGTAATCCCAGCACTTTGGGAGGCCGAGGTGTGTGGATCACCTGAGGTCAGGGGTTCGAAACCAGCCTGGCCAACGTGGTGAAACCCCTATCTCTATTAAAAATACAAAAATTATCTGGGTGTGGTGGCGAGTGCCTGTAATACCAGCTACTTGGGAGGCTGAGGCAGGAGAATCACTTGAACCTGGGAGGCAGAGGTTGCAGTGAGCGAGAGCACACTGTTGCACTCCAGCCTGGGCAATAAGAGCAAATCTCAAAAAAACAAAACAAAATAAAACAAAAACCTTGGAGACCCACTGGCTTACAGAATTTCAGACCCTGTAGCATTTTATACACAGGGCCATCATAATTTTTTGCCATGTTAACTTTCTTGCTCCTGTCTGTTCACTATCCGTTTTAATTCCCCTAGCCCTGTGGTTCTTAATTCACACTGCATGTGAATCACGTAGTGAACTTTAAAAAGTTACAGTTTACCAGGCCTTCCCAAGACCTAATGAATCAGAATCACAGGAGTATTAAAAGTTCTGTAGATGTTTGTGATGTGTAGCTGAAACCGAGAATTACTACTGTTTTTATATAGAACTAATTAGCATGAGACCAAAAAAACCCAACTCCAGAAAATCCAGTAATGCAAAGAAAACTGTGCCATTAGGTGTACTCTTTTAGTTAGTGTTTATTTATAAGCACAATAAAACAATCATGGGAGAAAATATTGTCTTGCACTGAAAAAAGTAAACTGTCCTGCCATTCGTCAGATTGGGTAACAGACACAGATAAAGACAACTGCATAGTGAACAGGTCTTAGTATTTTTCCCAAGGTTCACATTGCACACAGTGTGGTAACAACCTCCTGCCTGGAGTGACTTCTGCTTTCTTCTGAGAAACCTTGTCCTCTAAGGACATAGTGCTGTGTGAAGCCATATCAGCAAGGATGAAGCAGCCCACTCTGGACTGGAGGATCTGTCGTTTTGACACAGAGAAGCCCCCTCAGTTTCCATTCCAGGTGCAGAGCTTCAGATAAGGGTTTCCTACATACATTTCTCATCTAAATTTGTAGTTCCTGAAGAAACAGTATTCTTTCTCTGCTTTGCAGTCCAGACCTGGTGCTATCCCTTTACACACAGCCCTCTGCTTTGCTTTGAGCTTGTGAAAACACTGTGACTTAAATTTCACGCTAAACCGTTTCCTTCCCCCAAAATTCTGTGATAACCGTATCTCTGTTTTTGGCAAGAATACCCTCTTGTGCCTCTGCTGTTTCGGTTCCTTAGTTGCAGTGGGTCAGTAAACCCAACTGGCAGACTACGGGTCTGGTAGTTTTTGACTGGGCTAGGACAGATGTAACTGATTTTAAATACCATGGGCCGCCTTGGAAGTACTCTTCTTTAATTATGTTTTTAGTGGGATTAAAATGAAAGGTAAATATAGCCATATCTGACTTTTATTTTTTAGGAATACATTTCTCAGCTCCAGTTTTAAAAAATCAGTGTTATTGAGGTGTAATTTATATCCCATGGAGACACCCACTGTGAGTGTACAATTCACTGAAATACAGAACTTGATAACTGTCACTGTAGGTCAGTTTTAGAATGTCCATCACCCCCGGAAAGTTTCCTTATGTGGTTAGCAGTTAATCCCTGTTTCTGTCCCCAGCCATAGGCAACCACTAATCTACTTTCCGTCCCTATAGATTTTTAGCTCCAGTAGTCTCTTTAGTATGCTTGTTTTTAAAAACCTCTTTTGTGTGTTTGTTTTTTTCCTAGGATGAAGGTTTAAGGCTCAGAAAGGTAGCACATTCGGATAAACCTGGATCAACCTCAACTGCATCCTTCAGAGATAATGTCACCAGTCCTCTTCCTTCACTTCTTGTTGTAATTGCAGCCATTTTCATTGGATTCTTTCTAGGGAAATTCATCTTGTAGAGTGAAGCATGCAGAGTGCTATTTCTTTTTTTTTTCTCTTGACCAGAAAAAGATTTGTTTACCTACCATTTCACTGGTAGTACGGCCCGCGGTGACCATTTTTTTGTGTGTACAGCGTCATATAGGCTTTGCCTTTAATGATCTCTCACGGTTAGAAAACCCAATAAAAACAAACTGTTCGGCTCCTGGACAAATTGTATAGTACCAGATCATCACTAGCAGATGTCAGTTGCACATTCAGTCCTTTATGAAATTCATAAATAAAGAATTGTTCTTTCTTTGTGGTTTTAATAAGAGTTCAAGAATTGTTCAGAGTCTTGTAAATGTTATTTTAATAATCCCTTTAAATTTTATCTGTTGCTGTTACCTCTTGAAATATGATTTATTTAGATTGCTAATCCCACTCATTCAGGAAATGCCAAGAGGTATTCCTTGGGGAAATGGTGCCTCTTACAGTGTAAATTTTTCCTCCTTTACCTTTGCTAATATCATGGCAGAATTTTTCTTATCCCTTGTGAGGCAGTTGTTGACTGAGTTTTTCATCCTTACAATCCTGTCCCATGGTATTTAACATAAAAAAAAAAATAAAACTGTTAACAGATTCTTGCTCGATAGCTTGTCTGTGTCTGTCGTGTTATTAGAGGGGAGTCCACTATATATGGTCACTTGAAATTATGATGCAAAGGTTTGTCTTGCATTGAAACCCTCTCGGGTATTACAGTGTTTTTAATTGAAAGTCCTAATTCTGTTCAGGAAAGGAGTTGATTAAATTTTGAGGTACTGCTGGTATTTTGGGAGATTATAACCAGTTTGTTTTCAAGATAACGGAAAATAAGGTCCATGAGAATAGAAGTTACGTGATTTCAGTGAGTTGACGTGTACAGCATGGCTGTGCTCCATCTGATTTTTACCCCATTCTTAAGTTCTGAGAGTGTGTTCTCAAGGAAGATTTAACTCTCCTTGGTTTTAAAGTACTTTTTAACCAGCCTAGTAAGTCTTACTACTTTTCATAATATTTCATAATAGTTAAAAGTAGGTGTTTTTTCCTGCCCAATTTGGCACTCAAAATAATGTTCATTATGGAAGTTTGGTAATACTGAGCAAGCCTGTGGAATTTTCTTTATGAAAAATGATTTTGTCCTTTGTAAATGTTAAACCATGTGAAACACATTTTCAGTATGTGTTACAGGGTCTGATATTTCCTGCACTTCGGTTTGTCCTGTGTCTTCATTTATTCTTACTAGGATAGAAAATGTTGGAATCAGAAAATAGATCCAGTTTTTAGCTACATACAATCTAGTACAAGTGATTTTTTATTCTTAAACATAGGTGTTATTTTTTTAAAAAATGCGCTCTACCTGAAAAGGAAATTGGATTTTAGAACTGGATGTGGTGAAGTATTTTAGGCCCAGATCTGTGTACACATTTTATAGAAGAGTGAAGTATTCTGAAGTATTTTGGTTGCCTTTTCATTTCAACTGTGTTTTGAATTTGTCAGATGATACATACATTGTGTTATTTTGTGCTGTGGTATCTTTTATAAAACCTCTTGCTTGTGTGCAAGTTGCTAAAAAGAAACACAAGTAATGCCTATCCATTACTAGCATGCTATGCTGCAGGTCATATTTCCATTGCTATATGCTTTACTGTTTTTGTGAAAATCCCCCCCTCCCCTTTTCCGGTAACTGGAAAAGCATGCTAAAAAGAGTCTTATATTTTCACCCCATAAATGGAGAATCAGTAATTCCTTGGCTTAAAGCTCTTATGTAATCAGTATTATTGGTGATAAATAATCAAGTTTGGTATCTCATAGCGATCTTTTTTTTAAAGAAATGAAGTTCTTGAAAATTTAGCCAAATTCCATTTTATGGGAATGCTCCTTAGAATTCATTTTGTTCAGTCCCTTTGTTTTATAGTTGAGAAATCTGAGGCCTTACGAAGGTTAAGAGAACTTTCCCCATGTCTCACAGGTAGGTAGAGGCAGAGCTGGAACTAGAAATCTGTTCTGTTGACTCTAGCTCAGTGTCTTTTCTGATAACTTGAAAATTGTCTTAGTTTGAGAGATGGCTGAAATAATGAACATAAAATGCTATTAATAATAACAAGTACATGTGACATTTCCTATTGTAAGACTACTGCCGGCTTACTGTTGAATAGTTTGGTTATAGTGTTTAGGCTAGACATGCTTCCCACATTGGTAATAAATAACATTACAAAATACAATGTATTTTTAGGTAGGCATTGTATAAAATGCATTATGCCATGGTTGCTTTTGAGATAGATTGTAGTCTGGGTAGCATCTTTAAAATGTATGTGGGCTTAACTGTTGTTCATATCAGGAGATGCTCTGATTGTATAGATGAGACTGTTTCTGTTATTTTTATTGCTGTATGAAATGTGATCAGATTATTTTACTACCAACAGTTATAGTTTGAAACTGTATTAGTTGACTGATAATATGATAATATAGAGATTAAATTGTCTTCATTCCTTACATGTTTAGAAGTTTTTGCTTTATCTCCCTGCTTACTTGTATATGTAAGCATGAGGGAAATACACTGTTGATAATACTGAAATTACAGTCAAGTAACTAAGGCCTTAAGTTCATCTGTGACACTGAATGCACTAGCTTCCTTTGTTCTATAACTAATGTACCTTAACTTCCCTCATTCTTGTATTTACAAGATACTAAGAAGTTATGTTCTGAGTGTGTGGTATGTTCCCTTAAAAAAAAATGACACTTGGAAGAAAAATGTATGAAATTCAGAAATTCCGATCAAAGAAAAGTAATTTTCTCTCTTTTCTTTCTTTCTTTTCTTTTTTTTTTTTTTTGAGACAGAGTCTTGCTTTGTTGCCCAGGCTGGAGTGCAGTGGTGCGATCTCACCTCACTGCAGCTTCTGTGTCCTGAGTTCGAGCGATTCTCATGGCTCAGCCTCCTGAGTAGCTGGGATTACAGATGTGAACCACCAAGCCCGGCTAATTTTTGTATTTCTAGTAGAGACAGGTGTTTTACCATATTGGCCAGGCTGGGCTCAAACTCCTGAATTCTGCCTGCCTCGGCCTCCCAAAGTGCTGGGATTACAGGCGTGAGCTGCCACACCCAGCCAAGAAAAATAATACTCTTAAATATTTAGCTCAGCTGTTCACCTGAAATTGATATTATTTGGTATGGGAATTACTTTTGAACTGTAATCTTTCAGATGATACCACTTTGAAAACAAGTTTTAACAGTAAGGTAAAAATATAGTTCTTGAGCGTGTATTCCCCCATTGTGATCTTCTGCCACTTTAAAGACATTCAATTAATAGTTTTCCTAGAGCTTTGCATATTCCCATTCACAGATTTTTAAAATTTCACCTTTATTAGTGGGAAGGATCAATGCTTACCATTTGGAAAGACAAAGATCAGAAGGTAAATAAATTATCTTTATTTTCTAGCTTTAAAGGGAAATTAAACTATTCGTGAATAAACTGTTTAAAAATGTGAAGTGTCCTTTTCCTTTTCACAATACAAAAAATTTCAACAGATTGTGATGGTTTGTGCATTTATATCCTGTTAAGCATTAATAGCTAATCACTGACTGGGACTTGCATTCTGATGGCAGATAGTCTCTTGCTTAGTGAGATAGAGTTAACTGTTTTGTAGTAGGAAGTGAGAACAGCTGATTTTTCATTCCACATTTCATAGCCCACTTTTGGTAGATTACAGCCATGCTTCTTCGCAGAAGCAGTGACATCTTGGGAATGAATGCCCAGCCAGTCCTGGGTTGGTGCAAAGAAGTATAAACATACATCACTAGGGAAAAAGAAAGTTTGTCTTCCCCTTCTGACACAGTGTGTGCACTTCAGGCAATTTTTGGAAAATATAAAAAATTCCAAATTCTGCCTTTCAGCAGCATCAATTGCTAGGAACATTTCATTCATTTCCCTATAATATTAATGTTCTTTAAGCATAATCACTAATTATAAGTTGTATCCTATTTTTCTCCAACTTAATTTCTGTGGTTTATTGAAAACCAAGTATAAATGTGACTGCAAAAGCATTTTGCTTTGGTTTTATAGTTACTTTCTTGAGGTTATGGACATTTTATAATGTAACGATTGGCCTGGCCTCTTGACAATTCCCTTCTAGTTATGCATACTCTCTTATTGCCGTATTTCTTGTTTTAAAACTCAGTTTCTTGTTTTCCAGGTGTTCCTACGTATAACACCCATCTTGAAAGAGAGTGTACAGGAAGTTATTCAGATAACTTTTGTAGTAGTGATATTCAACTATGGCAGTACATTAACTCATGTGATGAGCTTAGGAACATAAAAGATAATTGTTGCTTGAATAGCACCCCCAGAGATACCTAATTAGTCTGGGGTGGAGACCTGGCATAGTAGTTTTTTTCAAGCTCCAATCATTGGCCAGGCAGTTGCTTTACATAGGCTTTTAAATGCCAAAGGAAGATATGAAGTAGATTTAATTAAGACTTTACTTCAACGATACAGGGGAACTTAGAATACTTACTTTTCTTTAAATTGCAGGAGTCACTGTTAGGTATTGCTTAATACAAAAGCTTTGCCTGTCAAGTTAGGATTGCTGGAATACCACTAAAGATTTTTGACTTGTGAATGAGCTGTCAGCGCCAAAATGCGATTTGAGAAATGTTGTGGGCTTCAGTATTAATTGCCGTTTTGCTGACACCCAGTGTACCTACCTACCTGAGAAATTAATTTTGTCCATCATGTATTTCTCAAAGCAAAAGGTGGTTTTCAAGTGTAATGTCGTTTTCAGCATGCTTATTACTTAGTTTTACGTCATCTCATTTCGTCATCACTGATAACTTGTGGAATAGATACTTATCTCCATCCTGTGGAATAGGGGAGACAGGTTTAGACAGGTTCAGTTTGCTCAAGTCTGCACAGCTGTAAGTAACAGAGAAAGTGGGATCTAGATGGTCTGATCGTAGAGCCCATGCTCCTAACCATTGTAATCTACCCTATGAAGGAAATAGCTTGTGTCCTGGTCCAAGTCAAATACTGACTCCTCACAAACAGTAAGTATAGCAATTTTGTGATGCCTTTGATTCCACTTTACAGGGACTACTGTTACTTGTGAAATGTCTTTAAGATTTTTAGTCTTAAGTTTTTGAAGACCGCTTTCGTCCTCTATCTCCCAGAGAATTGAGAAGAAATAAACTCCTGCCCATTAACAATCTCAGTCCATGAACAAAACCAACATCAACATTCCTAAACAAGTGTGTTACTCTAAGAAGGTGGCTCTAGAATTTATGGAAATGGCTTATGCAGCGTTCAAGACTGGAGAACAGAATGTGACTGGCCTTTTCTAATGGTCCTTTAAGATTTAATGATTATTTAAAGCAAGCGTTTTATTTTTTATAATTGACTTTGTGGTCCGAATTCTTGATACTGTGTATAATTTGACAAAGAACTAAAATTGTTATGTACTGTAGGCACTTAACCCTGAGGAAAAATAACACAGGTGTGGGTGGGTGTGTGTGAGAGAGAGAGGGTTACTAATGTGTAAGTGCCAAAAAAAAAAAAAAAAGGGGGGGGGGTTGAAATGGTAAGGAATTGGAATATTTTAGAGCAGTAAGAATTCCTAATCTTAGTACATGTCTTGTTTCAAGTAGAGGTTTGTTAGGAATTACAATTGTGGGGAGCAAACTTTTTGTGCTATTTTAATCCAAAATGTATATTCTTAATTGTATATAATATGTGGATAAATATATGAGGGTATTAAGCTACTTTGAATTAAATTTAAGGATATATTTCACATGAAAACAAATATAAACTTTTGAGAATCAAAAGAAAGTTTTGCAGAGTATTTCTTTGGGTGCTTTTGTGTACTTTGCCATTGAGCAAATTTTATGAAGTTATTGGGGTATTAAGATTTTCTTTTAAAAGTTAAATGTTTAATCAAGTAAATTCTCATTTCTCCAAGGGAGACATGGTCTTGTACGTTGGGACCCCCATAGAATATCTCAGCTAGAGGAGTTTCCCTATGCATGTTTTAGGAAATTATGGTGATTGTACATTTTGCAATGAAGGAAATGCCTTAAGAGCCTTAATTTTGAATTGAACCAAGTGGTTCCTTTGTAAGACAGGTGGTGAGCAGAATGGGAATTTCAGGGAGAGGAGCATAAGTACTTAAAGGCTCCCGACGTGAATGTTAAGGTGCTAGAAATTTGTGTTCATTGTTATAACATTTGCATCCCAAGGTGATGGAGGGGGGGAGATGACAGCTACAATAGTATTTGCATTCAGTAGTTAAGCCTGTCACATCTATGCATTTGTTTGAGGAAATAGTGCAAATGTTTCCAATAAATAATGTTTGAACTACTTAAATATGTAAACAGTTATTTCCATCCAATACTTTGATGTCTAACCAAGACAGTACGTTGGAGATACCAACAGCAAATGAAGTTTTACATTTTCATAATGTGTTTCCCATACCACAGAAGTATGGAGATAAGGGGGCTGTAGAATAGTGTTTCCTTTTCTCTTTGCTTTTGTTTTCCTTATGAAGTTTCCCTAGCTTTGACACATTATTTTTCCCTATTTGGTTTAGAGCCTAGATATGATTAAAGCCACCTTGATGCCCTTCCCTGTCCACATTTCCATCTGTCAAGCCACTAACCTGAAATGTGTGTCATTCTTGTGTTTCAATGTTTTGCTACATGTAATCAGGTTTATAGTAGATTTTGCATGTTTTAAAATGCCGCATAGCTGTGTATCTTAGAATATTATTTGTCTAGCTTTACCTTCACCTAAAATATTTTAAGCCCCGAAACTTCCACCTAAGTCCCTTGGGGTCTCTCATGCATTTCATGTACTAATATATCGTTTGCTCCTATGAGTAGCAGCTTGGACCCATTGTAGTGACTTTCTGTTACTGCCAAGGCTAGAACTGAAATTAGGACACCGGTCTCTAGCAAAGGCTGCTGAAGCCTGAAGCCTGTTGATGATTCCAGCAGTGCTGCCACTGCCTGATGTTAGCACAGGGTCTGTTGATCAGTCTGGCACAGATGTAGTTGATATCTGACTGAACATCTCAGCTCTCCTGAATATCTCGTGGTGGTTTGTTCTAGGACTCAGACATCAAGTCTGGCCAGAAGACAGTTGCTGAGACACATGTTGCCCTAAAAGCCACTTGCTACATGTGACTGTGTACATAGTCACACATAATTTTAGAAGTAAAATGAGTCTAGGGGAAGAGGGATGAGGTGCATAAGCACATATGTGGAATCTTCAGGCTACTTGCACATCCACACTGTGTTTATGCATGTGCTGCAGGGTGTGTGTGTGTGTGTTGAAATGGAGAAATGACACAAATTTTTTTTGAAAATTCAAGATGTAGAACAAAGGTCTTGCATTACCACATGGCAACAATTTTCTGGAGCCAAGTAGCCGTTTCCCCTGTAATTCCCGTCGCTTGTTTTATACTCTGTCTTTCTTGTTACCTGCATGATTCCTGTATTCATCTGAATTTGTGACCCCTGATTTAGATGCTAATCACATATTATAAATACTGAGTACTTCTATATTAGGTACAGGTTGGAGTTGCGGGTGTAGGGTAAGATTATACCAGATTGAAATATTGGGATATGGAGGGGGGATCCTGTTGTCAGGAGGCAAAACTAGTTAAGCACTTGTACCTGGTCAGCAGATAATTGGGCCCAGAATGTCCAAAACATTGTAAACTGAAATAGGCTAAAGTGTGAAGAGCAGTAACTGTAGAGTACTTATTATATGTCAAGTACTTTACATATGTTATTCTCAGAATAACCTTTCAGATTTATTTATTTATTTATTTATTTATTTGAGACGGAGTCTGGCTCTGTCGCCCAGGCTGGAGTGCAGTGGCGCGATCTCGGCTCACTGCAAGCTCCGCCTCCTGGGTTCATACCATTTTCCTGCCTCAGCTCGCAAGTATCTGGGACCACAGGCGTCTACCATCACGCCCAGCTACTTTTTTGTATTTTTAGTAGAGAGGGAGTTTCACCATGTTAGCCAGGATGGTCTCAATCTCCTGACCTCATGAACCTCCTGCCTGGGCCTCCCAAAGTGCTAGAATTACAGGCATGAGCCACCGTGCCCAGCCACCTTTCAGACTTTAAAAAAACGCAGATGAGAAGCACTTGGAGAAATTCACTGTCCAAACTTAACTGTCTTGGACAAGTCTGGGCCCTTCACCATACCATGCTGCCTTTAGGGAGAAAAGGGGGTGGGAATGACAGTGAAACTGAGCGAATGATGTTTAATTGAATAAAAACGAGAACTTACTTTGGCCTCAGTCACTTTTGTGAGTATAAAATAATTTTTTTTTCTGGTTTTGAAAATCTCTACATCAGAGAATAATGTGCCTAAAACTTAATTACCGAATACACCATACTAGTGGCTAGAAGTTGGCGTGTGACTGCAATATGGTTTCAGAATATAAGCTTTTTGAAATTCAGGCTCTTCATAGCCCACCTGTCAGCAAGTTAACCTAGATTTTTAGCTACGTCAATGGCCTTTAGCGTTATAGTTCCAAATATTAAGCATGAGAGAACCTTGGGAGGAAAGCATTTCAAAGTGGTATGAGTCTGGATGCTGAAATGAGATTGTGGGTTATAATTCTGGCTCTGTCAGTTTACTAGTTGTGACCTTGGGCAGTTTTATTTCTCTGTTGTCTCAGCTTCCTCTGTAAATAGGGTAATAACTATGCCTGTTTGTTGGATGTGGAGGGGATCAAAGAAGTATAGCTCTTAGAGCAGAACTTGGCACAAAGCAGATGCTCAAGAAATGGTAGCAATTATTGTATATGTATAAATGAAGTGGAAAATTGGGAAGCTGTCTGATTATCTGGGTTAAAAATTAATATATGCAGACTGGGCATTTGGCTTGACGTTTTATTTTTGAAGTCATTAACCAGGTGTGCAGCTGCAGGCATTATCTGTGTTGGGCAACAGCCTTTTATTGAATGCCAGTAGAGTGGCAGCAGGACAAACTGTGTGGGTTTTGGAGGATAGACAGACTTGAATTTGGATTTCAGCTCTGCCATTGGCTACAGACAAACCCTGGAACAGATTATGGAACCTCTTTGAGGCTCAGCTTCCTCATCAATGACACCGTCTGATTTTTACACTCCTCTTTTGTAACTTTGTAAGATTGTGGTGAAGACTACAAGATATTTTAAAAATTACATTTTTACTCTGTTCTTCATTCGTATTGAACATGATATTGGGATAATTAAACTTTTAAAAATTTAATGGTAAATTTTAAAGCTTAATGGTAATGAATACTCGAGTTAGAAAATATAAAAATACTGTAAGGGTGGAGGCATCCTTGTAGGGGAGTAATCTGTGAGTGTTAAGAATGATGTATTTCTTTGTTGATTCTTTTTGTCTGCATATGAAGGTAACACTAGTGGATTATAGAGGTTTGGAAAGATAGAAAAGTATATAGTAGAAAAAATTTCCAATATCTCACTTCCCAGAGATAACTTTTTAACAGTTTTTTTAATGCCTAGGAGCATAGCAGAGATTTTATATATGTATATAATTCGTATAAATATTAATTTATACTAATAAAAATCAACATGGTTAATTGATTTAACAAAATTAAAATAATTCATTTTTTTCCTGGAAATAATTTTTGAAATTG